GAATTATTTTTAAAGCGATAACACAGATATTATAAGCAAAGATGGATAGTGGCTAGCAGTGGAATCTAGGACGCGCGTTTCGTCCTGTTTGAGACTCGTCAGCTGGATGTACCTGTATCTCAGAGTTGATGTTCACTCTGAGACTCGAAATCAGTACCGTTCGCTTCAAACGCCATCGCGTTATCCACTTGTAAATTAAGGCAATATCGAGGCATACGCACAGTATGCACATATGCCAATAACAGACTGATCAATTGCAGTCTTAAACCTCAATAGGAAGATACAAGCCAACCAATACCAAGTGAATAACACAGATATTTGCAAAAAAAGTCCTAATTTGAGGATAAAATATTGAGAAATTACTTAAGTAAACTTTATATAAACGTTTATATTTCTCATTTTATGTAAACAACTGGTTATTGTCTAAAAGTATGTATATTGTGTTTAGACTTATATTTTGTTTTGAATTTCATTAAATCTAATGTATTTCTTAAAGTTACAAATATAGAAGAATATGACAATTTATTTAGGCGTATTTTGTGAACAAACATTTCAAATTTGAATCAGAACATAATGAGAGATTATTTATATATATAGTTACAGAATCTAAGAACAAGATAATGCTTACATGTTATGAAAAATACTTTTTTTCCAAAAAAGGTTTAAGATGACCCACTATTTCATGAATCGGAAATAAATGTTTACCAAGATGTAGTAAGATATGAACAGTTTGTTCTGAATAAGCCTAAACAAAATTTTTTTGTAAATATTTATCTTCTAAATTAAAAAAGATTAGTTTACGGTTAAATTTTACAAGGTCAAATGTCTGTGTAACACATTGAGACAAAGTCATGTATATAGTCACGGAGAATTAAAATTAAAGACCATCATTTAGCTTTTGATTCAAGTACGTGATTACTGATGAAAATCATTTACATGTAGCACACGTTTTATAGATCTAAATGTATCTATTTATCAATGTATAGGTATGATATGTAGAGTGATTTGCAGTGAATTGAACTTGTCAAATACTGTATTATTTTTTCTGAATGTATGTATGTTTGGTATGGCTGAGAAATCCTATAAATTATAACCATTGATACTATTAAATCCACTCCATTTATTGCTCATCTGTTAAATGATAAATAAACAATGCAGTTGAAGAACTACAATTTAGCAATATTCTTATTTAAAAAGATGGTCTGTACATACTGAATAACTAACTGTTCAAATAAATAAGAGGAATGTTTACTATCATTATTATGAAATGTTGGTTTTAAATTTTATAGCGGAATAGATTTTATCGAGATCTGCTCTGTTCAAGCACCACTGTAAACTAAGAAATTATGATTTTCTAGCCCAACAGTGTTTCGAATCATGAAATTAATATGCAACAAAAGTTTTTCAAGTCTAATCTTGGCAGATACCTTGACTAAGAACCTGACAAGACTAAACAACAGGATAAAATACATAATGATAAAGCTTTGTAATTTATTTTGTAATTTTTATGACATTATACTCAAGTTAGAAAGACGTAGATGATCGATCTGTTAATGACCTCCTTTCAGATGTAAATAATTTAAGACATTAAGGAGGAAGGTTTTTGTAAAATCTCACCGAATGAATACGTAGTAATTCCAAAGTTTTCGCCTGGCAATCTGGTCTACGCTTTTTCTAGGAAATTCAGATTATGCTCTAGTGCGAGCGCGTATTTGTCTACGTCTTATTGGATGTAAGAAAGATGGTGCAATGCAACCTTTTAGGGTCCAACTTAATGATAGCCAAGCTAAGAATATATTTTAGAAACAACTAGAAAAAGTTAGGCAGCCATTTATGTGATGCCCACATTGAGGCAGCTTGGAATGATATCCAAAAAGCTATGAAAACAGCAATGGTATCTGTTAGTAAGGGCAACCATAAGGTCAGGGGGAAATACTGGATCTCAGCAGCATCTATCGCACTGATAGATGCTCGAAAACTCATTCCATCGGGATCTGAACATAACGAAGAGCGGAGTCAGCTTAAGCGCAAGCTGACAAGAATCCTACGCAATGATCGTAAACAGTGGTGGGCAGCGACAGCAAGAGAGATGGAAAAGGCAGTGGCAATTGTTAACAGCAGACAACTGATCAGACTTGTTAAGAAAACCGGTGTTAGGACCCCTACTGTTAGTGAAACAATCTCAGAAAAAGATGGACATATTATACATTCTCAATCCAGGAAATTGGACCGATGGGCAGAACACTTTAGGGATCAGTTCAACTGACATTCAACCACATTTCGGTCTCGCACGATCTCCAGTCAACCTGAATGGCAAGTTAATGTAGGTCCTCCGACTCGTTACGAAGTTGAAAAAGCTATAGGAAATCTGAAACAAGGGAGAGCAGCAGGCCCTGACAGGTTTACTCCTGAGATTTTTAAGGATAGTGGTCCAGTATTAACAGTGAGATTAACTGAGGTCTTGGGTAGAATTTTGGAACTGAACGTAATCCCATCTGATTGGTCTCAATCACTGATTGTGCCAGTTTATAAGACAAGAGTCCTCTTGTGACAATCACAGATGGATCAGTTTGACTAATATGTCTGAAATATTAGCTTCAATAATACTTCGACACCTAACTAAAGCTCGTGAAGAGCAAACTAGAGAAAACCAGGCTGGTTTTCGACCTGGACGTGGTTGTATAGACCAGATATTCACACTATGTCAGGTTCTAGAACATAGACACATATTCAGACGCCCCACAATCGTAGCATTTCTCGACCTTAAAGCAGCATTCAACTCTGTTGATCGTGAGGTTCTATGGCAGTGTTTGTCACTGAAAGGAGTACCTCAGAAGTACAGTAACCTTGTAAAGGCTCTCTACTCGAACACAACTGGTCGAATGAGAGCTTATGGCGAACTGTCATCAGAATTGATTACCTCAAGTGGTGTTCGTCAGAATTGGGTGGCATCATCACCCGAACTAATGATAGGTAGTGAATTAGTCGAGCGTGCCGATCGCTTCACTTATCTTGGGAGTCTCATCAGCCCTTGTAGTCTGGTGTGTGACGAAATCTCAGCACGGATACAGAAGGCTCGACTAGCTTTTGTCAACTTGATTCATTTATGGCGTAGGGGAGATATCCGTCTACCAATCAAAGGACGGGTTTACTGCGCAGCAGTTCGTTCCATCCTACTTTATGGCAGTGAAACACGGCCGGTAAGAGCAGAGGATATTCGTAAGTTACTAGTATTCGATCATAGGTGTCTTCGAAGCATTGCTCGTAAATCCTGGGACCACCGAGTAAGTAACTCAGTTGTTAGGAAACGGGTACTAGGTAAGGATGGCAAATCAATTGATGAAGTAGTGGAAATTCATCAGTTGAGATGGCTGGGACAAGTGTTACGTATGCTCAACCACTGAATACCCCAACGTGCGATGTTTTAAGGTGAAGGAGTAGGTTGGAAGAAAGCTGGGGGAGGCCAAACCAAAACATGGCACAAACCCTTGAAGTCACTGACAAGTGGACTGAGTCATGTTGGTAGGTGTAGACTACCTGGTTGGGGACCGCGAGATGATAGCAACCGATGGTTAGAGACCTTGAATGACATGGCTCAAAATCGTTTGCAATGGCGCAGGTGCATACACTCTGTGTGTTCTCCCAAATTATAATCTTCTGAATTTGTCATGACCCTTTTTTCCTCTTTCCAAACTCATTTCACTGTATTATACTGCTTGAATAAGATCTTCAAACCCTAATCTTTCCGAATACTGCTTATACTCTTACTACCTCTACCACTATGGGATTTGAATCGAAAACTACATCTCTGTGCTAATGTGATATGGCAACTCGAACTGATGTACGTACGTATGAAGTTCTACGTTGTTACTGACTGACTTTTCCAGAAGATATAACGAAACAACAAAATTATCGAATATAGTTTACTATATATATAGTTTACTATAGTTCTCTGGTCAAGTGTGTACTAAATAGGTCATCCAATCAACGTTACCAATGTTTAAAGTAGGTACTCACTATAGTGTGTAAGAGACATGTTAATATAACAGATTGTGTATATTCGCAAGTGGATCTGAAGTGTGAGAAATTTCATTCATTATATATTGCCTCTGATCGGTAAATTCTCAAAAAAATATACAATTTTTATATATGATATAAATCAAATATGTCACAGCATGTATAAAATGAAGATAAATAAACAGAATAAAAATGAAGGTATAAATGTTTGTTTTATTTTTATTGTTCCAGTTAATTGTTTAATATATTCAGATAAAACAAATATTTAGAACAGTTGAATGTAATTGTTTTTATTCAGATAATAAGTAATAAATAAAATGGAATAAGTAGTTCAGGTTTATTTATTAATTATTAGTTGCCATGGGACAGCTAATTGTATTGCATCTCCTATTAATACTATTTGAATTTGTCCATATATGTAGGCCTTAAGCTGTTAGTCTTTCTTTGGAAAAATTAAAACCTTTTTGGACGATTCTTGTGCCACTGAAATCAATATTGAATTCATCATTGTTAAATATGAGTAATAGAATTAGATAGAATACTGATTAGATCTTATTTATATATTGCTTATAATATGTTAAGTTTACTACAACCTTAATAGTTCTTCAAACATGAGTGAATAAACGTCATGGCTGTAACTTATGTCCATTGAAATTACATTAATACATAATCGGTGAAAAAGTCATACATTACAGTGATAATCTATAAAATATAAACTAACAAACGAATAGTTATACAACCATGTACATGAAATAGTTGGTTCTTTGTTTAATATAGTGATTAAGAGAGTAAAATACTGTTTAAAATGAAAAAAAATTTGCCTTTACATAACGAAGAATTTATTATCATTTCGAAAATGTTAAATTTCACTTGGAAATATAAGGGAAAAATGACTACATATAATCATACTACTATAATTCTCACATTCACATATTATAATAACAAGTTAACATTGATAATAACACAAAATAACCAACACTTACGCTGTAAAGATTTGCAAAACGTCTAGGTCGAGATCGACTTGGCTTTGAGACATTTTGATTGGATAATGCACTTGTAGAACTGGATTCGACGATATGACGGCTTTGAACTGTTGATAATGATGATATAGTCAAGTTGGAATTGGAGCGCAGACCAATCAATGGAATATTTTGACTACTTTGATGTAATTTATGCGAGCCAATTATCGATGATGATGACAAACTTGTTTTGGATGTAAGTAGAGAATTTATTGCATTATTTTGACAAGATTGTTTATTAGTATTATATTGCTTGTTCTAATCATTAAGAAATAGCAATAAATATGAATTTTATGATTTGTCAAAATAACATATAACACTTTTTAATAAAATACACTAAGTTATAGAAAGGTTGTGGGAACATGTATTCATTAAAGACTAATAGATAGAAAATGAAACCAGTAGAGTAGTCACCGTTGGGGAGTTAAAAAATAAATTTCATCAAAGTCAAACACAAAAAACGCCAGAAAATGTTTTGCCCAATCAGCATTGAATATACGCTTCTCAGAAATCAGTCAGTCAGTCAGCTACAACGTAGGACCAGACACATATGTGTATCCGTCCAAGTTGCCATACCTCATTAGCACAACAACATGAACAGTGGATTCATAGTAGTTAGTTCACTGGTGGTCATATATAAAAGAAAAATAGCATAAAAGGACATAATACAGGAAGAAAGAATTAGTTCGTAGAAAGATAGATACGAAGCGATTTTAATCTCACAGTTTAAGGGAAGACAAAGAGTATGTGATCAATTCTGAGCCCCAAAATGCCCTGGTACGGCCGAGAGTGAGGAGAGCCCACTCTCCCCCTCGAAATGCTCTCACATGGCCACGCGTGTATAGCCTCTGACAGGGAAGTCCTACTCATTGCCTTCTCGTGACATTACTGTTGTTTACGAAATTGAGAGGACGAAAAGCGAACGTCCGGCACTTTAACCGCGTTTGTGGACATAGAGAATCCACCTAGGGGAGTCGGAAAAACTTGATTTCAAACCAATGGTGCACATGGGCTCCATTATCCTGAAGGAACAAATGGTGTATGAACCAATAGTTGGTCACCGGCTACCATGGGACTGCATCTCCTTACGATGCTTCACTGCCTTGTGGGTCAGACTTTCACGTCGAAGGCTCCGGGTGTGGCCCCCTAAGAAAACCACCCGCTTCGGTTTGGGCACCTGGGCAGTATCACAGTCCTCGCACATATCAAATTTGTGTGGCGCATATGTATTTGGTGCCTCCTTGTACCAATATTTATGTGTTAAAATAAATAAATAAAAATACACATCACCCACAATCTCCAACCATTGACTACGATAGTCACGCGGACCCCAACCAAGTAGTTCGCATCTACCAACATGGCTCAGACTAGAATTTAGTGACTTCAAGCATTGATGTCACGTTTTGGTTTAGCCGCCCCTAACTTTCTTCCAACCATCCCCAACACTAGTCAGCATTGCGCGTCGTGGTAATTTGTGTTCAGGCATACGTAACACGTGGCCCAACCATCGCAGTCGATGAAGGTTTACAACCTCATCAACTGATTTACTACCATTCCCTAATACCCTAAGTCTAACCTCACTGTTACTTACCCGGTGATCCCAGTAGATGCAAGCAATATTTCTAAGGCATCTGCGGTCAAATACTAGTAGCTAACGAGTATCTTCTACTCTTAATGTCCACGTTTCGCAGCCGTAAAGTAGAACAGAACGAACTGCTGCTCAGTATACTCTTCCCTTAACTGATAGACTGATATCTCACCTTCGCCATAGGTGATGTAAGTTGGTAAAAGCCAAATGAACTTTCTGAATCCGTGCTGAGATTTCATCAGACACCAACCCATTTAGGCTCATCAGACTTCCGAGATAAGTGTTGTCAACGCGTTCGACTACTTCACTCCCTATCCTTAGTTCAGGAGTTGATACAGACCTGTCCTGAAGCAAAAATTCACATTTAGAGGAGGAGTAGCGCGTCTCGAACATTCTGGCATTGTTGCTCAGTGCTACCATTTTATCAGCATCTTCACAAAACAGCACTATATCTGCGTATTCTAAGTCGATAATTGAACAAAAGAGAAAAGAAGTAAAGTGTAAAGGCTTTATTCGAAAACTAGTTTGTGTACAGAAAATCAAGAGTATTTATAAAGTAGCATGTGTTCTTTGTCTTTTAGAAATTTCCAGAAAAATAATATAGTAATAGTATAAGTAATTATCCAATCAAAAACGTAACATGTAATCGCCCATTATTCTCTGCTTCTCAGAAATATGTAGAAAATGGGCGATTACATGTTGTTTTTGATTGGATAATTACTTATACTATTACTATATTATTTTTCTGGAAATTTCTAAAAGACAAAGAACACATGCTACTTTATAAATACTCTTGATTTTTTGTACACAAACTAGTCTTCGAATAAAGCCCTTACACTTATTTTATCTTTTGTTCGACTTAACGTACGGAAGTAGTCTGGGGTTGTAGGATGCAGCTAGGACGTTAGTAATAAGCATTTCCAGTAGCAGGCTTATCAGTCACGAACATACATCTTGAAAATTGACCACATAGAACATCGTAAGAATTAATCGAAAATACTGACAACAATGTCGTAAATCGGTGTATTAACTGTGTTTAATTGTAAATCCGTTTGATGTGCTACCAAGAACATTGACCGACTGACATTACCAACCACCATGTTTGTACACTAAACAGCATAGTACTGTATTGACCTACTTTTATCAAGAGAACGCGATTGATTTAATGGAAACAATTATTATAACCGATTGTACCAGTGATTGTTTTACTGTATTTGTTTATTTAACTGTACTAAAGACATTTTTTCTTCCGTTGATTGTAACCTTACACGCACTTATGTTTGCTTAGTGATTCCGTTTGTACTCTTTTGGCACGATCTCGGTATTCTTTCGATACCACGGGATCGCCAACAAATATATATCGCTACAACTTCCAATCGCCTTCTGATATCTGGTACGCAACCTTCTTGTAGTGATAATCATAGTCAACCGCGACTCGACGCCACGCTACAGTACAAAGAATCTCATAGGATGACGACAGTAATGAAAGCAAGATGGTTGTTAACTAAGACAATGCTTTTTAATTAGGTAATTCTACTTGTACATAAGCAATAAAGTTGTTTCTAACACATAATAACAAATTGTCACACTTAAGGTGAACAATGATAGTGCACTTATTCAGTTATAAAATATAAATAGCTACTAGCATTCAAAACAAGTGATATATATATATATATATATATATATATATATATATATATATATATAGTATAAGACCACGTTATTAGTATTGACCTGGAATTAAAAGTTTAAGGCATGGCCTTAATTTATCTTAATTAACCTTTTAATCATCACGGGAAAAAAACATTTACATATGTTATTTAGAACAGAAAAGGACGGAAAGAACATGAATTATAGTACTATAAACAAACATGTAAAAACTGCTATATCACGAAATTAATTCTGTGAGATATAATTATCATACATATCAGATAAACATTCACATGATCTCCAGTATTCCATTCTATTAAAAACTTGTGCGATGAATTAATTTTTGAAGCTTATATTCACATCAATGAGACGTACAGTCAACTTCCTAGTCCATGACAGCAACAGAAACGAATCACAAATTACGGTGATAATCATATATATATAAGCCGTCTGTGGTAGCCGAAGCTGTTCTGTTCAATCTGGTAAATTGGTGATAACATCCATGAGATAATCCCGCCAGATGATTTATGCCCACTTCCCATCTACAGCACTTTAACTCGGAATTCGAACAAGCTCAGAGCTAAAGGAATGTTACAGTTTTCAGTTATCGAAGAAAAACGTCGAATCTTGAGGTTAGGCATCAGGTATCAAAATGAAGGACAGTATGCCACTTAACGAACTGATACCTGATCTATAGGAAGTAGTTTCTGCATGCTGACTAAAAGGCTACTATAAATGGGACTATTAGCAGAAAGGTTTTAAGGAATTTAAAACGGCTACATGTTAGCGAGATATAGATTGGAATAAGTCAGTCAGTCAGTCAGTAACAACGTAGAACTTCGTACGTACGTACATCAGTTCGAGTTGCCACACCACCTTAACACAGAGATGCAGTTGTCGATTCAAATCCCGTAGTGGTAGAGGTAGCAAGAGTGTAAGCAGTGATCGGGAAGATTAGGGTTTGGAGATGTTATTTAAAGAGTATAATTCAGTGAAATAAATTTGGAAAGAGGAAAAAGGGACATGAAGAATTCAGAAGATTAGAATTTGGGAGAACACAAAGAATGGATGCACCTGCGCCATTGCAAACGATTTTGAGCCATGTCATTCAGGGTCTCTAACCATCGGTTGCTATCATCTCGCGGTCCCCAACCAGGTAGTCTATACCTATCAACATGACTCAGACCACTTGTCAGTGACTTCATGGACTTTTGCCATGTTTTGGTCTGGCCGCCCCTAGCTTTCTTCCAATCTACTCCTATACCACTGAACATATTCCGTGTAGGGTTGTGTTGGACAACGCTGATTCATCACTTCTTAGCCAATCAGAGATATGCAATACTTATACTTGGAGAAGATTCTAAAATATTATCATGTTAAAAACCATAAATATACTAACGTTTTACTCACTGTGATTCTACTCCCATTCAACCTCGTTATTTGGAATATAACTACGTTCCTGTTCAACCATGTTCTGATTTGGGGACTTGTCGAGTGAAGTGGTGTCTAAGAGTATTAAGCAATAAGAGTAGCTCGGCCGTAATAAGGGGAATCATAACACTACGAGGTAACATGCCTAAAAGCCCATAACCGCTGGTTCGAAGTAAAGTATACTTCTGTCAGACTGGAATATTAATGGCAACACTAGTAGTAAATTGAATAGTAGCAAATGATTGAGCAATATGCCTGAATGAAACTCAATATGTTATCATGGCAAAAATTGTAAACTTTAGCTTCGAGTTTTCAACATTTAAGTAGTGTAATCACTATCCCACTTAGTCTAATACAGCTAGAAAATTTACATCTATACGCAACGTATAATGATGAACTGCATGGAAAAACCCTGACCTTTTTCATCAGAGTTGAAGTTTGAGACATAACTTAGTCATGTGCCGCTAATGAACTATGTAACAATGACATAAAGGAGTAGATGACTTCTGTGACATATTTTTAAACTTAGTCGATAATTCAGAAGTTGTAGATATAGACGAACATCATACATCTGATAACTGTTTGCTGATAATGTGTAAGAGGCAAAAAGCATGGATTTTTGAGTGCTGTCAACCAAAATGTTTATTCGGGATGCTTGAATCAATATGTACCAAATCATCCATCCAATACCAAATCATCGGACAAAACTGGGGAGCTGTATGTCGAGGGAAATCTAGCCATTTTAGTTAACAGTCAATTATTAAATTAGTAACTAATTATTACAGTGAAACTTCACTTCTTTTCAAATTATCATAAACAGTACTTCTCTGCACGTCGAAGAGATTTCACAACATTTAAGGTCGTTGCATTTGTTTCCACGGAAGTTATACTTCTTTTCAAGTAGAAATATTATTCCCTGAACGAATTCTATATATTTCTGCGTTCTATACTATGTAGTGTAACAATGGTAGGTATAATCTTGGTGTATTTATGTATCAGAGTTAAGCAATATTTGATATGTAAATGATAAACATATTGGCCGAACTCAATCACAATTTAGGTCATACCTGCTAGAATGCATTGAAACTTAAAAGTATGAAAAAAGCAGAACACACAAAACTTGGATCTGGACAGTTTCTTGTGAAAAAAATTATTTCACTTAGTAACGGCGAATGTTAGAAAATTAAATGAGTGATATCCTAAATTACATAAAATCTTAAATAGAAATACAATTCATAATAAATGAAATGATGTCTAAAATAAAAAGAGAATGTGAAGCAATTGCCTTCTGGTTATGTTAATTTTCCAGCATACATTCTTAATTTATACTGGAATCCAATAATGTTTAGAAAGGAAAGAAATAGAGTATGCTGACACTATGGTGAAAACTATCTACACACAACAGCACAATAAATATCAGGATATCCTCTCATGAAGTAAACTGGATTGCAAAACATGGCTTTTACTTCTCTGCATAATCTTGGTGAATTTGATCATTTGCATTCTAGTTTCCAAATTAATACAGCCACTTGCCAACGCTACTCATCCTATCATCTACGTAAATTATACTGGACAAATGTAACCAATACAGCCCATTGGTTTGTATAAGTCTTCAAGCCATAATAGTCTTATAAAACTCAACGGAACTACCCATTCAAAACGAGTGAAGCAAGGTCCGAAACTGAAACCTGATGACGAAAAATCCAATGGCTTTCATTACTATAGTGCGTGCAGAAATAACACCTCTTGGTTTATAAATTTACAAAGCTAATGTCATTACAATGAATAGCATAAATAATCACAATTTCAAATGTTGAAGAAAAATACTCTACTTACTTTATATTCTCCAGATCTTATGTGATTGGGTATGGACGCGAATGAATTGCTTAGAGTGTTTTTGAGAACATGAGGTCCAAGGACACTTGACATAACCGAGCGTTTGCCTTCATTATCGTCGAACCGGTCGCCAATAGCTGTCGTATCAACCAAATCATTCGATATAGATACTTGAGCTAGGCGATGGGAATCATCTGAGTCTTCTGGGTCCGGTTCATAGAAAGTGAATTTGACGGGTAAATGGGAGCAACTGGTGCTTAAATGGGGAGATTTGAAGTTAGAATCTGTTTCAGTAGCGGAATTCAGGAATTGTGTTTCGCTCATTATTCGCTGGTGCAAGACGCTCAGTAAAAATTGAATAGTTGGTTGCAGCTGTTAAATTTCTTAACATAAGATTTATTAAACTTTAAATTCAGGTGAAAAACAAAAACATTCAAGTGGTAAATGGTGATGAATGGATATGCAGCTATGTATAAGCATAATTGAAAACCGTAAAGATCTAAAACCGAGCGCTATTACTAGAGTAATTCGCTTGTTAGCTCCCATTTGATTTGTGGATATTATGACATCATTTATAATCATCTTAAGTAACGTAAAGAATGTTAGTAATAAGGAAGTACGAAAACACTAATACGACTAGCAAGTATTTTGTAGATGTTTTCGGTAATCAATGCAGTCTGTTACATCTAATCACACGGGAGCTATTTCAAGAAGTCTAGAAGGTTTGATATGGCAAAGACCATTCATCTGTAGTCTTCCTTTAAAATGTAAACAAGTTCCTCGAAGCTCATAAGGTTTCCCCAAATCCTATAGAAATTTTAGAACATATGTATGCCACGAAGCCTTTTACAAATGCCAAAAAACCTGAGGACACCTTATGGACTCTTACTTATGTGCATATTTTAGTTATATTATAATTGTTTTGTAATTATATGTAATTACAAATCATATATGATTGCAAAATAATACCAATTATCACTTGTCGATACAGTAACCTTATATTGGTTCCACTTTCCAAACTTTGAAGAAGTTCTAATGAAAATTTGGGAGAAATTCTGAGGAAAATGTAGCGTCACTCATTCTTCAAATTATATTACAAGCAATTGAACTATTTACAAGATCTTAAATAGTGCATTTGAGCATTTGTTCCTGGAAATATCCCGCTACTTTTGAAAAAAACTTACGAAATAAAGTAGCAAGACGAATGCCTTGCAACTTGTTCAAGTTAAAATCCTCATAATTACCGCTAATAACTATGTACACAGCCTCTTTTCTATTGGTTTATTTCAAAGGAGCTATTTTTAGTTTGCCTATGTGTAACGCATTCAAAATATCAATCAATCAATGAATATTTTCACTACCAGATTAACTTGACTTCGCTCTTATGTAAATGTTTGTATTTATTGATATTTTTGGCTATTGAGCCGCGCACTTAGCGCGAAGCTCAATGACACCGTTAATGCCATGATGTATATGTTGTTAACGTTGACCTGTTTTTTCTAAGTCTAACAAATTTCAGATGGGTTGGAGGAAAAAACCCAAGATGTCTATGAAACTTACGAGACGAAATTTGAAATTGTATTTTGTGAAAACTTTACTTTTGTAACCCATCACCACGTTACTTGATATTTGAAAATATAACCCATTGGCTAAAATTCCGTATTCTCTCTTCCCAAGTATTGACTGCTTGAGGATTGTGTCGCGTTTCAAATCCAGTGTGCCTATTTGGTCATCGGCTCACTTTTTCTCGCTCTTCTTTCTAGTTGCACTTGCTCACGTTGCTGCATACTCTCATTCAGCACTCAACGCTCCTTCAGGCTAGACAAAAACCACTGCGTATTTGGCGAGCCTACCGAAGGTTGAAAGTTACACTAATATTCTTGATTCAAAGAATCTACTCTGTTTTGTACATCAATCTGTCGACAACCACACAAACAAATGCCATAATAAAGTAATACTATGTTAGCTGAAACGCAGTTAGGTAACTACAGCAACGTAAGGGGAATTAAAGAAAAATTAGCAGAGCTCAGGAACGTGTTTTTAGTTCTAACTGAAGTCTAGCTCATGGATGTTGAGGTCATAACTCAAGGCATGTAACTATTCAGATGTGATAACACGTATAAACAAGTTGTGAAATGGAATTATCCAATGACAGCCGCTTTGATACTACTACCCAGCCCAACAAATAACCTTTGATGCTGATTAATATAAACTTATCGCATCGTTATTCATAATGATCCACTACAAATTTTTGACAACGGTGTTGATTTTAAGGACCTTTGAATGGCTTACTGACACTGGTGATTGAATAATGTGTTTAGTACGATGATTTAGTAGAGTTATCGAGTGATCATATTTGTATGAACATGGTGTGAAAATTTGACATTAGTAGGCTTTAATTGACCATCATTCTTTATTTATCATGTATTAAAAGCCTACTGTAATTCATAAAGACTAGTACAAATGATTTGTGTCGTGGTTTAGTATTATTACATCATCATTGCAGATGTCCATAATCGTAACCACATCTCGGAAATTGTACAGCTATTGAGGATCATCTTCGAAACTCTCTGTGTCTACAACAGTGGTAGAAGGCAGTAACAGATAACCACCGTGAGATATTGAGGTTTATTTTTCAACAATTTATTTTGAATAACGTCTCCCAAAGGTAAAATTCACCTGGAAAAAAAGCTTAGCTGACGCGATGCTTACTTTGGGCTAAAAAGAGAACCTGATAAACGGAAATTTACAGGAATGCTTTTCGATTGCAGACCTTAGCTGGAGCTAAAGATTAAATGAAACACTAGATTACTAAGAGACGAGAGGTATGTGTGAACCAAGTTCATCGATGAAATCCAAACTATTCAGAAGTGTATGTAAAGTTTCTTTTCTCGACCAAAAGCAACAAGACAAGAGAATTTTTCTGTCAGAGTCTAATAGCATTTTGCCAACCGAGTAAATGCAGAAATCTTCAATGACTGTTTCATCACACACATAAAGATCTCGAAGACACATCTACCTAACTTCTGGGATTTTGGTATGGAAACTGAAATACTGGCCGGAAGAAAAGTTACTTCGATATTACAACACTCACCTATAATCGTAAAACAGTGAGCAGAGAATATTACTTTATTGAATTGTGGTCTAGTTTGGTATTAGTACACTTATCTCTGTTGTCGCTTTAATAGACCTATTCCCATAGTTGTAGATCTGTCATGACGTGACTACCAAATCCAGGAGATCTTACGTGGAAATCACGTCATTATCTTTTCTGACTCGTCGTAACTTGATAATCAGTAAATGACTTTTAGCACTTCTGAAGAACACATTTGAACTAGGGACAGAGTAAAATATTTTAATATGAATGGGGATTTGTTCCGAAGATTACCACGTCTGTAAGGTTGGGCCATGCCATACTGATCATTTGTTCCCGTGTTCACCATTGTTGACCTCGTGCTGCATGTTGAACATAAATCTTCACAGTAATTACACGCTCAGCTTTAAAGGTCTTATAATTAGGAACCAATCCCATTACAAGTTTTTCGTGCCTATAGGTAACCCTCGTGTTATTGATAGAAGAAGCCAGACAAAAATTGAATTAGTCTTTATTTCGATCTTAGCGCGGTTACAGTGGAGCGTGGGATTATCTGTTCAGACAAACAAAGGCTTTCAACATTCAATATTAGATAATAAGGAATATAACGATTATACAAAATAAGGAAGTGAATGAATACTTGAACAATACTCTTTTGGCATATGCTTGGTTGTTTGGGGTCAACTCTTAACCAACCAACCTATGCTGTTACAAGTTCACTTGTATTTGATGACAACTAAACGTTCCCAACTTTACTTGAATTTATTTCTGACCATCAGTTCCACGTCACTAGGCAACCTCCACAAAGCGCTTTCACCCTCATATTGACCATTCAAATGCTGCTAAAATTATTTACATTCATACGTAAGAAATGTTATCCCACTATGACCAATGTGGCTTATATCAGCCTAACTGAGTAAATTATTACAGCGAAGCTTATATGATCTGTAACAACTTGATCTTGTCTGTAAACTGTCATACATCATGTCACTTAATGTTATTTGAGAATAAATAAACTCCCATAACGATGAGGATAGGATAGTAAGGGTGAACTCCAAGAGGAGAAACAGGAAAGATCTGACTTATAGCGAACCATAAACACTACTTCCATCACTGGGCTGCAATTAAACGCAACTCAATTTCGTGAATATGCCTTTCAGCTTAGCAACCAATCAGAATGAGGCGGGAATGATTATTTCCGCCATCTTTGTAAGCAATGGCGGTCGGCATTTTTCGTTTTGTGCTTCTTTCGGCTATTTATTTTGTGTAGCTATGTAATTTAATGTTTCAGTGTGCTAAAATGCCGCAGTTAGTGTAATGTTCTATATGTTGGTGTGCAATTTACTTCGAATCAGCATTGTTTTTTGGTTTTTGCTGCTTAAGCAGCAGTAGGATTCTACTCAAGTTAATGTATTTCTTCAGCCAAGCTGGCTAGTTTTATGCTTTAAAATGGTAATCGGTTTTGTATTGACTTGTTTTCTAGATATCCGAAGCCGAAGATCGTTTTTTTAGCTAAAATAATTGTTGCTGCCGCCTGTGATCAACTGCCCGCATGTTCGTTCCAAACTGTCTTTTATGAAGTTATCAGCAAAATGACAGGAAACAATCCCCGGTTTTTAATTTTCTTCAGTATTATGGACAACACTATCCCACCAACGACTCAAACTAATACCGATTGCTCAGCAGTAGGGGATGTCAGTATTGCTTTCAAAAGGACCCAGACTTCCGACAACCATAGACGAAGTCACGCATACTACCAATCTATTGCAGAGGGTTCGTTATAAAAAATGTGTCATATAGCAGTAATAAAGGGGTTGTACGCCTTACGTAGTGCGTTAAAGCAAGCTTAACATTGAAAAGCCGGAAATCTGCTACCAGTGTGTAGTGTATGTATGAAGGGTCATGATCAGGGAGTAAAAAGGTAACTAACTGTTATTAAGTTCACCTTTTTATAGACCATAATTCACCACTCGCAGATTTGTTTTTTTACGGTTTGACGCCAATCGTTATCTAATATGTTCACCCTTACGATGAAAAGTACCTGCAAATTTTCGCCTTCATATTCGAGTTATTTTTGGACAACTGTCTTCCAGTTTGAGTGCTTCGTACTCCCTGGTTGACTAGATTCCTACATTATTCATAGTCCCAGTATAACTTTCTCACGAAGTAAGTTCAAAGTAGACACTAGTCTTTCTAAATAAGCCTGTTAAGCTAATATCCGTATTCTCTATTTCAGTTAATCAATGAAGACATGTACCACGTGCACCTGCTGTATACTGCCATTTTACTGCAATTCCAACTGTTATATCTTAATTCTGAAAAATAAAATTGCTATATGTAGCGAATACAGACTTATTCGTTTTGATGGAGATAGGGGGGTTCATGGGATTTTTAGCAGGACTGTAGTAATATTCTCATTAAAGAGCCAAGCGAATGCGTAGACCGACGTAAGGTGCCACACAGAGTGCCTTTAAGTTACTTGTGTTGCATTAGTGTCGGTAGAGGCATTACTTGCTTATCATATGATATTTGAATAAGAAGCTATGAGATTAGACGCAGGGACGGTTAGGATGTGTAACGCGTGTCCATCCATCAGCTGCCGTGGCAACTCATGGTGGCTAGAATAAGTTGGGAAAGGACTCGAGTCTGTAGGTTTCCCAGGAAAGTGACGAAGATATGCATCAAACTTCTACCCTTTAGAGTATAGACGTCTTAGAGGTGACCTTCTAATGGCTTACAGTATTCTTAACACTTCTGGACATCCTAATAAACACCTACTTAACCTTAGTCCCAACAAAAACTTAAGGGGTAACACCCAGAAATTGGGGACACAACAAAACAGAACGGACTGTAGGCACAACTTCTACTCCTTAAGAGTTGTTAAATGCTAGTCCAAGCGATTTCCCAGGATTCTTTGAAGAGGCAACTCGATCTGTTCTTAATGATTAAGAATAATATTATACTATGATTTACCAGTTTCTTTTTCCTCTTTTATTGTTAGCATACCTAGGTTCCTGCCTGGAGGTTTTGGTGACCCTCTGCTACTAGACACGGAAGCCTGTTAAGCGATAGCTTCTTCTATTCCGTCCACAACCATTTGAATCATTTGAACCATTTGAGGGTTTTTTGTGTTGTAGGTCAGTAACGTGTTCGAAGTCTTGCGCTACCATCAGATTCAGATTTGTGTAGTAAGGACAGAAGGCCTACGGCCTATGTTATTCCTTTTCTAGTATGCTTCTGTAAGTGTCCAGTCTTCTCTTGACAAAGTCAATTGTAGGTGCGGCAGCAGGTTCCAAGTATTGATGACTCGGTGTGAAAACCTGTATGCCACGGGTATTTTGTTCGTTCTTGGCTTTTCTACTCGCCTGCTATGTCCTCTAAGGTGTCCCGATCTAGTGGGAAGAAAAAGAGAGAATAACTTAGGTCCGAAATCATGTCTCAGTATTCTGTATATCAATATTAGATCTCCCCTTAGTCTGCGATAGGACAGAGTAAAGAGGTTCAGTTTTTCAAGCCGCTCTTTATATGATAAACCCCGAAGTTCCAAAATTCCACGCGTAGCTGTCCTCTGCACTTTTTCTAGTATGTCTGAGTCACCTTTTAAACAAGGGCTTGCAGCCTGAACACAGTTCTCTAACTTAGTTCTCACTAAGGATGTGGTGAACATGGTAGTATCAAACTTAGTGAATGTCCTTTTTAGGAGGCGGTTTTTCTGAGGATTTTCGGAATCCACCTTTTTTCCTATTCTATAAAGCTTACAAATACTAACTCCTGAAACTGTATCTGGGAGTAGTTTACTTAATGATGTCTTAACATGATTGAGATCATGTTCAAATCTTGCCTTTGGTTCAGTATCTAAAGATTCTCTTATCTTATGAAAAATGACTGATCTATCGGAGAGATCTGTCTTGTCATGCAGTGAGGATTTTTCTTCTGATAACATCCCTTCCAATGTCTTGGCTTTCTCTCCGACTTTCAGATTGTCCTAGTCTCCGGCATGGGTTATTTCTAGTCATAAATTATTGCTTTTATTCGATAATGTTAGTTCACATCATATACTTAGTATATCTTCTGTTCATGTTTTATCTTTTTCTATTCTATACCTGTAATTATTCTGCTCCGCACTCATAAAACGAGTGGATTAACTAGTCAATGGGATACTACTGTTCTTGAACGTTTATATTGACATATCTAGCATGTGAAGCAGTAATAAACTATCAAGTATAGTAGGACCGAATGGACTTCTTTGTGTTTGCATTACCTGAGAATCATCAGTAATTGGTTTTTAGTGAAATAAATCTAGGTTTGCACACGCATGGCTTATTCTGAATTCGAGCTTCCCAGTATCAATAAGTCGCTGAGCTTGAAATATTTATAGGTAGCATAACCATAGAATGTGATTTACACATACATAGAGTCAGGTGTTGGAAGCGGATGCTGATAGGTCTAGAATTTCGGTACGAAACTAATTCATTTGGCTAAATAGAATTTTGACATTATAGCTGATGTTAGTTCCTAACCCTAACTATCAACTGTGAGTATTATTCATACTTCGAGTTATCCGGATACCACTACCTAGGAAGTGATAGGCATAGATGTAAGAAGGAGGTTGACGTCCATTTGTAAAGTTGTTAGCTGTGAACTCGCTATCGGATGATGTATATTTATACTTGGTGTCATATGGTATCCAAATCTGCTTATTTGATGACTTTTAAAGCACATTCGGCTATGGAGTACAAATAACATGCTTGATATTAGGAGGCTTTGATGCACCTGATATTAGTTGGGCTGAGATGGTCAGGGTAGGATCTATAAACTTTGATAGGTTTCTGATAACGGTAATGGAGCGTGCATTATTACAGCCTGTATCCGAACCCACACGTTTTGTTTCAAACCAAGGTTATTCTTTGTTACACTTGGTAATTACTCATCCAACTGAGAATATTGTGAAATATTCTTCCCCCGTTAGTGAATAGCGATCACGCTGTTTTGTCATTAATGCTTAGAGATTGTGACATGATATACGACCCGGTCAAGCCTCGCCCAAATGTATGGAGAGCTAACATAGCTGCCATTCAGGAGTGCACTGTTAAAAAAGATTGGTCAATAGATACTAGCTCATCAGTTGAAACATCGTCTATATTTAAAGGTTAGTTCAGTTCAGTTACATCCTCGTTTATACCATACCTAGTACCACGTAGACTGAATAACTGTCCACCATGGATAACTAAACAAATCAAGAAGCTTCTTAGACGTAGGGAAAAGCAAGTCATTAGATAGGCTATAAAACAAGATATTTGGGTGATTCACAATAAAGACATTTGAATTAATCAGACAACTGAGTATCAGTTGGACTAATATGACTGAGCTAATGCACTTAACATTGATGCTTAGTCAGATACTGTGTTCCAAAAATAAGTATCCAGTTATATGGATTTGACATGTCCATGTTAAACACCATATATTTTACTACAGGGTGTTGCTCCTGTTGTCGCTTTCTGTTGATGCTCGAAACCGTTGATAGACATACCAAAAGTTCTGTTTTGCTTTACATAGAAAGGGTTCATAAAGTGATGCAGTGTTTTGGGTCGTTGGGTTTGCTGGGCAATTACTGTAGCATTATAGCAATGACGTTTAGAAACATTGTATTTTATCGGGATAATTTGGAAACTTCTTCTTATAATGTAAAGTTAAAGGTATTAATGAATTATATCGTTGTTTGAGTATTAAGCTATCCGTTCCTATTTTGACTTCGCTAAACGTACCAAGTTATTTGTAAATAAATTTTGATAACTATTACTCTGCTGGGTGAATAGTGTATTCATACCATCTCAGGATATATCAAGGTACTATTCAAATTTGTGGCTACTTCCCGTCTGGTCTCATTTCATGATCGTTTCTTCGTAGTAGAAAAATGTAGTGTTTGTGACCACAAACAAATCATCGTGACCGACATTTTCTTTAGGTTTCTGACCTTAGTAGTCATCCAAATCCTAGAAGTAATTCAGAAGCATTGGACTCGGAGAAACCGGTTAATCTTAAATTCTGGTTATAGATGAGTATGGTGCCTACATAACATTTTTTTTCAGATTCTACAGTATAAGGAAATTTGCGAACGGAAAACTGCATACTTAATCGTTATTCAAAAGGTCATGATTTGTTCTAAGCGTGCTCTAGACTGTGGTCTGAATAGGTTACATCAAGTACTATGTGTCAGAGCTATGCACCTTTCATAATTTCATTCTATTATCTTTGCTTTCTTAAAATGTAGCTTTTTGCTTAGAATCAGCGGTGGAAGTAGCTGAGTGTGTTGATCACTTCATCCACCATTGAAATCTCTAAAGGTCTGATTGGCTGGTGGTTGTCGAACGGTTATCGTGGATACGTAATCACCTTTTTTGTGTGTATCACGGCTCATGCAAGATATCTGGTCGTGCACAAAAAGGGTACTTTGTTGAGCAACATTTTTTCCACATTGTTGGCACTTTTTGTCGTTCTATAATATCAGTGTCGCTTTGATCCAAGCTGTACTTTTGGTATGAGGGGTGGTAGTGCTTCTCGGAAATTTATTTATTTATTTTAACACATAGATATTGCTACAATTAGGCACCAAATACATATGCGCCGCACAAATCTCATTTGATACGTGCGAGGGCTGTGATACTGCCCAGGTGCCCAAACCGAAGCAGGTGGTTTTCTTAGGGGGCCACACCTCGAGCCTTCGACCTGAAAGTCTGACCCACAAGGCAGTGAAGCATCGTAAGGTGATGCAGTCCCATGGTAGCCGGTGACCAACTATTGGTTCATACACCATTTGTTCCTTCAGGATAATGGAGCCCATGTGCACCATTGGTTTGAAATCAAGTTTTTCCGACTCCCCTAGGTGAACTCCATGTCCACCAACCTGGTTAAAGTGCCGGACGTTCGCTTTTCGTCCTCTCAATTTCGTAAACAACAGTAATGTCACGAGAAGGCAATGAGTAGGACTTCCCTGTCAGAGGCTATACACGCGTGGCCATGTGAGAGCATTTCGAGGGGGAGAGTGGACTCTCCTCACTCTCGGCCGTACCAGGGTATTTAGTGGCTTCTTGGAAATATGAACTGAAGTAAATTGGGAAAGATTCGAACGTGCGATCTATTGTTTACAATCCGAAGTAGCTTAAAAACCAAATCACTTCTTGTTAATCCATTCATCTTTTGTGCTGGAATGTGGACCTTTGCACAGTTATGCCAGGTCATACATTGCATATAATTGTTTGTCTGTAGTAATATGAAGCGAACGAATCATACTGACCCAAGTTGAGCACGACAGCTTTTACTGTTATATATCCATGGAGTCAAAAGAGATGATTTCTGATGTGTTGAGGTTTGCCGGCAATCACACAATATCTAAATTCAGTCAGTAGGAAGCTGGGGAGTTGTGACTCATGGTTAATGGATCTTGACCACTTAAAATACCTTAATTTGATCCCCATACGATTCATATCATTTTCCAACAGGTTGATGGAGTTAGATGAAACTATTAAAAATTTGCATATATTTCGATTTGATTCCTTAGGTATTAGAATAGAGCTGTCGCTAGGCATTCTTCAAGCTAATCTTCTGATTTTTCTATTATGTTTTAGCTAACTTAGTCCAATTAAGAAGACATAACGCTGTTTCTTAACTTCAAATAAGTGTCTTTAAAAAATTGACACAAATTTTAACTTGGTTATTTAGTCCTCAGAAATCTGAGGATCCTGAGGTTTACTAATAAGGGTGATATGTAATAACTCCCTCGACAACTTAAATCAAAGCCACTGTAATATCAAAGTGACTGCGTTTTAAACAGTTCTAAAAAATGAGGTATAGTTCTTAGGATTTCGGAAGGGTACATGTTCATCATATTATATATGGGATCTGTGCTTTTATTTCAATCAACTAAATAATTTCCTGTTTCATCATTACTTTAGTAAAAACTTTTTATCTTCGATTTCAGCCCACGTTTACTAAACTTCAAAAGATGGTCATGCAATCACAATTGATGTAAATATCATTTTTCAGCACAAAACATCAATGGCAATAAATGAAGAAAATTTCGGTCGGTTACTTACTCAGCAAATTTCTGATATTGAAGCCACTGAACAGGAAATTATTATCTTGGAAAAATATAGATCAGATTATGAGTCGGTTAGTAACAAAATTCAGGAGTTGCAAAAGTCTGTATATAAAGATGCGTATATTCCATTCAGTCGCAAAGCGCTTGTCCGTGGGCGTTTAATTCATACAAATGAACTCTTAGTGTATCTCGGTGGGACTGATGACTATTTTGCTGAATTATCTGTCTACGAAACAGTTCAGTTGCTCAGTCGTCGTATTAAACGGTTAGAGATAAAATTAGATGGATTACGTCAACAAAAAACACTGTTAAACGATAGAATCAGTTACACAAAACAGTTGGTCTCACAAAAGCTAGTTTCTATACCGAAAGATTCCGCCAGTTGTACTCGTGATCGGATTGTAGAAGGTATTGAGGATGATAAAGAAATTGAAATTAGAGAAGAGTATGATTCTGATGCTGAGATTGAATGGAGGAAAAAACATATAAATAGTCGAAAACAGGAACGTATTTCCAATGCATCAAGATGTTCCCCAGTACTTACTACTCGTCGAGTGTCGTTTGATTTAGTTGAGCAAGTGCTTGGAGAACAGTGTACTGATTATGAAAATATTTCTAATTCCGAATCTGATTTTGATGGTGAAAACTTATCGACTATACACTTTCAACATTCAGACACACCTTCACCTATTCCAAGAGAAACAGTAGTGGATGTTTCCACTCTTACTGTTGCAGAAGCTGTCAATTTCGCCCTCAAGATTTGCAACACACACGCTAAAAATAAAGTGTTCTTGGTGGAACCACTTGGTGATATTAGGGAAAAGCAACCAAATGCCTTAGCGAAAGCTGTCAATTTTATCCCCGAAATGTCCAGTACCAATCATCAGAATAAAATACTTCCAACAAAACCATTTGGTGATATAAATGAACGGCAACCGAATGTCTTAGATAAACCAGACATTCCTCCACCCATCATACCAAATGAAAGTAAACGATGTTCACTGTTCCGTTCTTCTCGTATCAGAGATTCCAAACCTGCATAAATTTGTCTGGCGTTGTGCTTTTGTAATCATTCACGAGATTTCTTTTTTTATATTTTTCGATTATCTAGGATCATGATTTTATTCATATTTTGTATATATACTCATCAGATTCCTTGTTAATAGTGTTTGTTGTATGAAATGCAAACACATTGTTTTTGTGTACATTTTTTCCTTATTTTGTCGAACAAGATGGCTTGGTGATTAATAGCATTCAACTTTCAATCAGATCACGGATCCTGTTCTAGCATTGTCTACTTTGCTTGGGACTCTGGGTGGTATCAATGTCTCACACCTAAAATTTGACCCAAAGTTCAGAATGGAAACCTGTACTTAGTGAATGAGTTTTCTGAAAATAGGATCTGCTAACGAATAGTTTATCGATGACTCAAATGTTACATTTATGGAATAATGATTACTGGTAGCACGTACAAGCAAAACTTAGATGTGGGCAAGTTTGAACGGTGGCTTGCAGTGGAATTCAAGATATGCGTCTCGTTCTATTTCAGACCTGTAAGCTGAATGCACCTGCATTCCAGAGTTCCCCCGTTCTAGAACTCGGACCCAGTGCTGTTTGGTTCAAACTTCACCACGTTATCCATTTAGCTACTGAATCTAGACACCTAACTAGCCCGTGCAATTAGGTAAGGTTGGATTTATTCGAACTGGTTGTTTTGAGTCTTCCTGCTGATGTTTAGGACTGGAGTAGACCAGTTTCTTTTAGCATGTATGCATCTTGTGTGTACTGCCTCCGTATTGTCTTTAGTTTTCAAAAATTATAAACAGAGTTAGATCCAGATCTGCCTATTGCTATTAAATATCGTCCCAAAAAGCGATCCTACTGTAGACTGTTTCCGAAGGACTACAACGTTGACCTAATATTTATGTAGTGAATAAAAAGTGAGTTCTTCATGTAATCATGAAGCAGGTGTGCGTAGCACGGATATCGTGGTACTTTTTCTGTGATAAATCTAGTTAATAGTATCGGAAACGTATACCGTGGTTTTTACCGTCGCAAGCGCGAAATGATGGACTTCTTTTAAAAAGCTGGGAGCACTGTACGGCGTTCTCGTCCTAGTGTAGGGCTCCTCATCACTGCGCACGCGGGAATTGAGCCTAGGACATTCGATCTCGCGTGTGAACGCCCAACCTCCAGACTACTGAATCGGCAACTGCCGCAGGTATTAAATCCAGGAGTTGGGCACGATCATGGATTGATCGACTTTAAATATCAACACCGTTATGTGCCTGCTCAATGGTCTAGAGGCTAAGGGTTCGCGTGCGAGACCAAAGGCCCTATGTTCGATTTCGGCATGGGGGTTCATCGGCATGACTGACAAGTCCCATGCTAAGAAGATCCGGCTATCCAGTGCTCTTGGGCTCTCAGTGTTAGTCTAACTGTGATCTGTTCCTAATTTGAACTATACTACAATTTCCGAAAATTCCCTTCACTAATCTGCTATAATTGTTACAATCGACTGTAAGCTTTATTTTCTTTGTACATAGTACGTGGACGATATGTAAGTATCTTTGTGTCACAAACTAACTGTAACATCAACGGTTGAAGAGACGATTAGTGTTTTTTTGTCAGTCCGAATTTATCTGATATTTAAATGAGCGGTTACTTCTGGGCGGACGTGTACGTTTTGATAGGTCAACTATCGAACTGAGTTTTTCTTTGGTTTCGAGTGCTTTGCCGAATGCTCAGAAATCGATCATTTACTGAAGAACAGCACACTTGAAGGTAGCTTGTTTTTTCAAGAGACACTGATTAATGTGTGGTCTGCCAGTACTATTTCAACCTATTTCACTACGAAGAACGGTAAGCACAGGAGCCACTACGATCTGCGATTTCTGCCCCTGAGATTTAGTATGGATGCTTTAGAAGTTATTGCCAGTTCAAAGTTGTTGAAGGATATCTTGCTCCTTGCGATGCTGTCGTGTTTCCTACCTTCGCGCAGTGGTTAACCCTGTCCTAGGCATTGTTATTATGGTAATCGAATAGTCCATTGGTTGTTTGGATAAAAAGTGACTCCATCACGACATGAACTTACATGTATAACGCAAATAGTTGAAGTAAAAGAGGTAAGAATTTTTGCTTTCGACTATCGGTTGCCTTGGTGAGTAATTTAGTTACAGTGATCGACACTTTGGTCAACAGTTAACATTTGTCGTTCAGACGAAACCATTTTTAAATATGGTAAGAAGCATATATTCTCAGTTTGAACATGGCAATTTAAGTTTTTATTGAGATCGAAAAATGCCATCTCTGATCTGCTGTTTACCTGTATGCTAACTCTGGTTGGCTTACGGGAGGGGAAGTTAATGATAAATGCGATTATTGTCTGTGAATATTGGCTGATTTTGATAATATGCGCAATGGAGATATACACATAAATAAATGAGGTCAATGAATCATCTAACATAAAATACATATCACAATTTACATGATAAAGTATTTCAATAAGCTGTCTCTAAAATATATTTGTTTAATGGACAAAAATATGTGTAGCTGTAGAATGTTGATCTTCATTACGTCCTAGTACAAATATGTGCTTTTTTAACCATGCAACTAAACGACTAGTTAGTAAATCAGCACCCATTGCACCAGCTTCCAAACCAACCCCATCAGCTGTTCCGTCGTTAGCATATGGTGCACTCGGTGCTAATGCATGTCCAATGCACTGTGCACTGCCGGTTAAATTAACGCCTTCAGTTAAACATTCTTTAAGAGATTTCGGAATTAAATTACAACCCATTAGTGAATTAGCCTGGCAAGCTAGTAAAGAGCTTTCAGTCCATCCTGGCAATGAAGAACTAGTCGAGTGAATTAAAGGCTTTTCATAATGTGATGATGGGATTGTATTGGCAGTTCCAGTGATTGCTGTAAGTGTTAAATTTTCACAATGACCTGCTGTTGGACCTGATGACAAACGACTATTAGTTAATGGATCAGATAAAGATAGCAAGAGTAACAATCGGTTATATGGTTCAGGTGGTTCCCACTCAACACATTTTTGTAAGCGTTTAAGCATATTACCTGGAAGCTAAAAAGATAAAATAAATGCATATAATAACGATTCATAACATAGCATGATATTTTATAAATTATTTCGAATTTATAAAACAAGCATAATTCAGACGTATCCATGTGATGGACAAACGTTCTTCCTAAAACGATAAAAGCTTTGAGAGTGAACCAATTAGAATAGAAAACTCATCACCAGTAAATACACTCATTTTTGTGATTTATATTCACCTGAAAGTCTTGGGGTTAATCCTAGGTAAAGGTCATGAGTGTATGTTATGAAGACCCTCAAGAGTAATACAAAACAGGAATGTAGTCCTACAATATTTTTACTGGTTTTCTAGCTGATATGAATTTGTAATACGGATTTCCACTGATCACTTGATAAATTCAATATTAGTAAATGTTTTTGCGGAACAAAATGAATAAAAACTATCTTTTGATGTTCACTCAATTACAAGTATGCGGTCAAAACAGAAAAACTAGATTCCTATTTTTTCATTGTACCGTAAGATGGGATATGAATAAAATATCAAATATCATATAGCTGTGGTTAGTTTATTAATCTTTATTCTTAACAGAACACCAAAACACAAAATGTATATTTATGGTGGTTCTAATATTTTTTTTATAGATTGATCAATTTTTTTATGGAAAAGATATATAGGTCAGTCATCCATAAACTACGTAAGACCTGAATGTATCAGCATAGCCAAGTGAAATTATCAAGATTAGTACTTAAGTAGTAGTATGAGTGGTAGTAAATAATTTATACATACTTTGAGCTAAATTATCTCTTTTTTGAGAACTAATGATACTATCTGGTTGTCGAAACTGAAGTAAGTAGGCGTAACATTGGAATGTGAGATTGAAAATTTCGAAATTAAGTGTTTTAACCATTAACTAATCGGTGAACAGATATTATTTAAATTGTATTCATTTGAAGTTGAGTTTATAAATCTATTGCATTATAAATACAGTCAATATCCAGTTGTGTTATAAACATTATTAGATATTTTAATTTTAAATACTTGTGTTTTTTTATATTTTCTTAATAAAAAACGAACTGCAATTATGGATGATATTATTAAAGCTGTCATTAAACATCCATCTACTATGGTGGAGAAGATTTTTAGCTAAGGTGGATGATTTTTATGGAGTTTTATTCTCTGAGCTGGATAGTTTGATTATGGAGATTTCGTCGTTCTTCTGAACGACATCATCAGCACAAACTTCAGGTAGAAGTGAAGCGTTTGAATTTCTCCACATGTGGAGAACTGTATATTCCTTGATAAATTTCGAATAATAAAACCATTTTTCCTTCTTTCAAATGTTAACAAGAATTTATATTAACACTTTCTAGGTAAAGTTATCTTTATTTTGAAAAAAACCCAACAAAACAACAACACGCTAAAAGTATCTGTTAAAAATTTCGTTATAACAACTATCCTTTATAGTTTCAAGAAAAACATATCAATTTAGGATATTTTTATTATACGAACTGAGAAATCTTCTGTTAAATTCATCAGTAGTATTTTTGTAATTATAAAAGATTTTCCCATTGGTTTCTTTATATTTGAAACGTTAAAATATTTAAACGCTATAAAATGATAGATTAAGTACTTTATTATATAACTGAATGTAGCTGTTAAAATAAGTAGGTAGTAAAAATTAATACTGAGTATGATTTCTAGATCACCATCGAAAAGACAACATCATTAAAAAAGAATAATAATAGTATTAGTTACCTGTTTATATCGTCCATGTAAAAGCGGCATCCATAATGTGAACAGCTACAGAAGAATAATGGCTATTAAGTGTGAGTTAATTATAAGGATTATATATAGTACA